CTAATGAAATAGTGAAATTGGGACATCAGATCTGAACTCTACGAAAAGAAATTCATGATTGTGTACAAGAAATAAATTTAATTATGCATGTAGTTTACTATCAAAAAAATTTGGTTTAATTCTCTAATTCTCGTTCAATGTTTCTTTTGGGTATGCTATATGGGTCACCACAATTAATTTTCTCTTGGTCAAAATTAATATTGTCTATCCATAGGTCCGCCAATTTAAATGTATTTCGAATTGCCGACCTCCTATTTAAATTTCACACTTTTTACCACTCAGCCATATTATCCAATTCAATTTTATTTCAAATAATATATTTGATATATTTAAATCAAACAGTAATTTCTTGCACAAACTCACTATCAATCTGTTTCATCTGCCGCCACAAATTAGGAAAATAGAACAATTACACTGGAGCATCATTTTTACCATTCTTTTTTCTTTTATCACCGTGATACTTCATGACAACATTCGTATGGGTCATCTCAACGAATTTTTTCTTGGTCCAAATTGTTTGGACCAATGCAACCTTCTAACTTAAGAGAAATTTACACCGTATTTCTTATAAAAAATATTTCACTTTTACAATTCAATTCTTTTTATTCCATTAATACTAGAATAAAGTAGTAAGAATCATAAACAATAAATCACCTCACTCCACCTCTAAAAATATTAAAAATTATGCTAGTTGTATAATTAGTTTGACACCCTTTTGAGGTGTAAAAATCGAGGCCATTGATGTGACTAAATATTATTAAAATTAATGGAAAAACTATATGTCATGTCGTAGAGTGTAAACAAAGTTGTCAATCATAGTGTAAGTGTAGCAAAACTGAAACGTTAAAGCATTATCTCTATCTCCTACCCAATCAATTAAATTACTACATTCACGCATAAATCACTCCAAAGAATTGACTATCACCCAAAATCTATATATATGCTAGATTTGAATTTTTCAAAATTATATTTCCATATTAAAAGTCCTAAAATTATATTTCATTTTAAAATGAGTAATGCTACTTGCAGTCGCCCTATATGACACACATAGTTATTTGACGCATTAATGTGATAGTGTTTGACTACATTTAATGCATCAAATACACACTTGACATGTGTATGCCATATGGAGCGACTGCAAGTAGCATTATTCTTTTAAAATAGCTTGTAAGTAGAAGTTGTGGTTTTAATTTTACAAATTAAACTTTTACATGGAAATGCGTGGCTCAATTGAATTATCATAATTCAACTTTCTTTTTCAAAGTGGCATCAATGACAACTCATTTTCTCAAATAAGTCAATTCNAATTATCATAATTCAACTTTCTTTTTCAAAGTGGCATCTATGACAACTCATTTAGTCAAATAAGTCAATTCATAGTTTAGTAATTTGGGGGCAGGATTGGTTGCGGCCAATTCAGCCCTATTTGACACCATTATATTCAAACTCTTTTTTATATATTCATTTTTAACTACAAATTCATACAATAATATATTCTATACATAAATCCAAAATTTTCCCATATTTTTTAACCACACATCTGCTAATCATCACTATTCAAAACTTTGTTTTTTCCAAATAATGATTGTCAAACTCGGGCTTAATTTTTACCTTGTGAAAAGAAGTATATGTGCAAAAGAAAAAAATTTATGTGAAATTATTTGTTTTACAGATTATCCAACTTTAAAAAAAAAAAAGGGTTAATCCCATTCTAACTCCGCCAGGAAAGTATTCCTTCCAAAATTGTCTTTCTCAAGTGAGAGTCATGCTCATGAGGTTGTTCAATAAAATACATTAGATAAATTTAATTTTCGGTGTTAATTTCATAAATTTACTTTCCCAAATGTCACGTGTATCATACCATACGATGTTCATTCGACACATTACATTTTCGACAAATGTGTTGTTAGTGCACTCCAATTCCTTTCACAGGTAACATTTCAAGCGGACGCGATGTAATGCACTCTATTAGTGTAGCCTACTATAATGTTATGACTTTTTGCTACGAATTGTCACATGTAATGTACCATGCCATGTTCATTAGACACCTTACATTTTCATCGGGTGTTGTTTGTGCACTCCAATTCTATGTGTTATGCATCAGATTTTCATATTTAGTATCGTGGAATGTTGAATATTATGTTTCTCTACATTTAATTATAGAACAATCACGTCACTCTCCATATCTATTTTATAATATATACCAATACCAATACCAATACGCATACTAATACAAATAGATTCACCTATTACTAAATGTCCGTCGTATCATACCAAGTGATATTCTTAACACACGTAAATTCAAGCGGGCACGATGTACTGCAATTTAGTAGACCTTGTTTGCCCAATTTTTCCTATCTCGACTCTTTTGATTCTGTGGCACTATTAAAGACGTGGTAAGAGAGAGTCGAGCTTTGTTACAAGAATGAAGGACATGGCGTTAAAAGCTAAGATGGTTCAAACTCGAACTCCACGAAGACGATAAATAATAAATTCCTACAACAGACAAAATGCAATTTTTTTTTTTTTTTTTGTGACTTTAAAATGAAATAAGCAGTATTAAGGATTTGTTTTCTTTGGACAACATTAGAACCAAAGACCCCAGCCAATACAATGATCGATGTATCAAGAATCACACACTTTTAGTTTTAATATATTTAGAAATTAATAATTCTTATGGCTGATGCGCATTTAGCAATTTTCCATTGAAATGGGCCCCCGCTGCTTTCCTTTTGATTGAAAACATGTCATCACATTACACTCCAACAATAGTTGACTAATTCAAATGTGATTGCACTTCGTTCTAAATGTCCTTTTTGCCCTTCATTGCTGGCCAAGTATAGATCAAATGGTGGAGAGGAGAGTTTTTGCTACTTTTAATTAGGAGGGGCAATCATGTCATTTTGCTAGAAATTTGGATAGGGAAATAGTCAAATGGGGTTAAATGCACTCCTAACTAACCTACAACCCCCCGTTTTGCCATCCTTCAAATTAAAAAACGTTGATTTGAATAATATATTTTTGGAGATAATATGATTAAAAAGAAGGTAGAGAAAAATTATGAATTCACGTGTAAAATATTATTGTATGAATGTATGATTGAAAATAATCATTTATCAAAAATTTAAATAGTTTAAAGAATGTCAAAAGTGGCTTCGCCTAGTCAAACAATCAAGCATTGAGTCTTTTATTTTATTATGGAAATCTTACAAATTCTATCAAAATATGATAGAATTGTTTATAAAATGGCAAAAGTGGAGCCCATTTCAACGTTCCAAAAATTAGTTATTTCTAAACGAGTAATGTTATTCAGTGTTATTGGTGTTTAACACCAATCTATGTAGTAGTATTAGTGGCACTAAATTACAAGTTCAGTTAAATGCATCATACAAGTTCACTTTTATTGAACATATCACGTAATGTCACATAAACTGGTGCTCTAACATCACTGATACTAAATAACATTATTCTTTCTAAATACAATAGCACCCCCAACATGCATAATTATGTTAACGTGCAATTTTGAGCATGGCCAATATCATATCATTAGCCACCGAGTCAGCTACCAACTTTGGCATTGTTGCAACTACGTCTCAAGCTTCACAACTATTGCCTATAAAAAAAAACATGCACAATCACATGCATTTATTTGTTCTAGTCGTTATTCCGGTACACATTTTTCTCATTTCGATCAAGTGACTCGGATGAAATATAAGTAAAATTTGGGAAACTCAATTTATGAGTTTAAATTGGTTAGTACGCAAGTGAAATTTATCCGGACTCGCGTAAAACTACTGTGATTTATCCCAATTATTAGTGATGGGAATAAGTCATTTCAATTTACTTTTTATTGATAACCATACTCTTAACGGATCAATTATTTACACATTTGATTCGTGTAAAAGACAGGAATTAAACAAGATCATAATCCACCCAAACTGAAAGTTACGCATATTTTCATAGATCCTTGTTATATCTTTTGTTTTCCAATTGATTTATGATTTTCACTTACGATAGTCTTTGAGGAATGGATCAAAATATAAATCATTCTATCTTCAAAAACAGTATGCATATCTATTTTGCCTCCACATGCACACCATATCAGATTTCGATTTCTAATATTAACATGCAACAGTCAACCTGAACGTCAATTCTTACATGATTATTCACACACACATATCAATTTTGGTTTATCCATTACCATAAAGTTCATAACGTAATTACGGAATTTCAGTAATCGTGTTTTTTTTTAGGCCATGTATGCCAATTTCAAGTTTTGAATTCAATCTCACTTTCGAGGTAAGCAATGACTTGTCCAAATTTCGAGATTTTAAATTTTAATCGAATATTAGAATTCATTGTTGGATTTTTATTTTCATTAAGGGCGTGTTCGGTGTAGCTTAAAATCCAATTAAAATTGAAAATATAGTCGTTATTGAGTCTCACTCATCTAATAAAAGTCAACAATAACGGCTAATTTTTCAATTTTAATCCGATTTTAATCTCTACCGAACACGCCCTAAATTTGTTATTTTCTATTGTGATCTAAATGGTGTATTTGAAATTTGTTATTTACCTATTGAAATTGTTTTTGCTTTTATGCTTGAAATTATTAGTTGAAATATATTAGCATTCATTTATTTGCTGAATTTCATGTTAGATAATTATGAAAATAATTTAAATAAAAAGAAACTTCAAAATGAAATAAAATGGTAATGGAAAAACTCGATCATAAACAGAATACGAAAGCTACTCTCTTTCTTCTTTCCAAATGCTTTCACGGTTGCAACACGTTCTTCAGCAACCTTCTTCCAAAAATAAAATTTCACAATTCTTCACATACTACATAATTAGCACTACAGCCAACAAACCATTGATCCACCAAAGTAGCACCTTGTGTAGTGACAGCCTCAACATCCTAAGAAAATGTTCCAAGTCGAACAGCATCAATTATCAAAGCACCTTGAACAACTTTAATTCATATAAATTCTGAAAGCACGAGCTTCATAACAACATAAGCATGTAAGACTTGCACGACACATACTTACCTAAGCTCAAGTCATTGAAAGTTTCTTTTCAAATTTGACCAACAAACATACTGTCTATTTTAAGACTTGTAAGTAAAGTTTTTTAAGCTTATCCAAACATGCAATTAATATCGTTGAAGCAAGCAGAATGAAACTTCAGTATATGGAAAACTTCGAGTCCATGAACCTACCTTATTGTGTAGCTCGGCAGATACGTCTGGATCATCCACTTTTCCGACGCTAATGCTATAAAGGGATTCACTCAACCTTACTGAAATGAATAAAGAAAACAACCTCAGTAACTCAAATGAATGAAACATTTCAACTTTTTTGTTCGAAAATTATTATAATTCAGAAATAAGTTCATAATAGAATTATACCAGAAGGTTTCATTCTATAATCTTCTTCCATGATCTCATAGAATTACGAAAGCTAAGCTATAGCCATTGACTTAGTCCATGTTTCGAGTTTCTCAAATTAAGAAATGACTTAGATACTACAGGATTAACGGCAACAAATGCTAGAGGACTCCATAGTAAGGATTACGTTTGAAACATGTATTTTGCACAAAACTAATACAAGGAAATGAAAACTATATACCAGAAACTCAATTTCTAATCTGTAAAGACAACCAAAAAAAGATTGAGATACAAAATTATTACCTTTCCTTCTGACGCTATCAAAAAACCAGCCAATTGTAACCAATAACAGACCATTTGTTGGTCCGTGTCTCAAAGCATGCTCGAATTTGTGTCCATGAAAACTGTAAAAGCGCAATTCACCATTGTGTTCACATGGGTGTAGAAAACAATTTACATCAGCAACATAACTGAGTGATAATCATCAAATGAACATATTAGACAGAGAAGCCAGCGACCAAATTCATGCACTTGCACTTGCCCCGCGTAAAAACAAATGCTTCCTCCAAAAACAATACCATCAAAGGTTTTACAATGAAATTAAGATAACAAACTGAAAGTGGTGAATTTGGCCCACTGTTTTTCTCAACTTCAAGAATCCGTATTTGTCAAATGTAAACTATGAAGAACATGCTTGGTATAATGAACGGGACAAAATTTGACTGCATAACAGATTCATATGCATCTCTTTCTTATCCTTTGCTTATTTTTAGGGGACAAAAAGGTCTACGGCATATGAATCTTTTATAATTTAATTTGAAATTATATTTTTATTTTTAGTTCTGTGAGAAAATGAGAATTTTATTTAAGATTAATCATTTGTCTTCAATTTACACGAGGAGTAAAAATAAAAATTACCACCTACATCCCGAGGTCCCAAATGCCCCACACTTTTAGAAAAGTCTACAATGTCATAATGCACGTTAGCAGATGATATAGAAAAAATTACGAGGAAAAAAAATAGACAGAAAATAATTTTTTTTAAAAAAAAGAGAGAGAGCAAGAATTGCATAATAATTGAACCAAGTTGAGTTCGGCTAACCTGCACACCAGGTGAAGTGAACCCAAGAATCCGAATCTTTGCACAGATATCACCCTCGACCCGCAACTCGACCCCGTCATTCAACGAAGCATCTCTTATCAAATTAGCAGCATCAATCTAAAGCAAGCTAACCCGGTCGACGGCAATAGTAGTCTCGACCTGCCGGACACTATGCGCGGGTTAATAAAATCCGGGAACGATCCTGTTGACCTCGAAAAATGGCTCCGACACGTGGCCAACAGAAGATGTCTTCAAGTCAGCTTCTCCCTGCACACGTGGCACACCGTCAGTCGCTTGAGGCCTTTCCAGAAGAGGTTGGGAGCGGCCGCAAGCACTCCGACGGTCAAGTCAACTTAATATTCAACAAGGAGGTTCGCCGGCGGTAGGTCACTCGCCGGGAAATGGTTGAGG